AACCTCTGACACTCTAGGGAAAATAGCCCCAGCCTATTCACCCCCTCCCTATAGCTCAAACCCTCCAACCCTAGCAGCATCCTTGTAAATCTTTTCTGAACCCTTTCAAGTTTCACAACATCCTTCCTATAGCAGGGAGACCAGAGCTGCAAACAGTATTTTAAAAATGGCTTAACCAGTGTCCTATACAGCCGCAACGTGACCTACCATCTCCTATATTTCATGCACTGGCCAATAAAGGCAAGCATACCAAATGCCGCCTTCACTACTTGTGACTCCACTTTCAAGAAGCTATGCACCTGTATCCCTATGTCTCTTTGTTCAGCGACACTCCTCAGGACCATTACCTGATTTGCCTTTCCAAAATGCATCACCTCACTTTTACCTGAATTAAACTCCACCTGCCTCCTCTCAGAACATCTTGGCACTTTGCTTGTGCTGTTGCAAGATCAGAGAAAGGAAAGAAAGCTGCAGTGCAGGAATAACATAAGCACAGAAGGAAAAAAAGGCTTTGAGTATTAACGTGATCTATTTTTAGAAAAAGCAATAATGTTTGACGCTGTTGCAGAGGCTTATATTTAATAATGTTTGCGACCCTGAGTTTGAGTGATTGTGGATATTTGGATTGGGTTTTTTTTTTAAAGAGTTTAATGAATGAACGTTGCAGCGTTTTTTTTGCATTGCATTTCTTGAAAGTCACATGTCTTGTGATAACTGCTTGTTTACTGCAGTGTTCCTGCTTGAGTTTGACTGTCAGGTTCTAGTTTCTAAAACAGAAGTTGCCGGAAAACCTCAGCAGTCTGGCAGCGTCTGTGAAGAGAAATCAGTTAACGTTTTGGATCCGGTGGACCCTTCAATGTCAGTTCCTAAGCAGAAGTTAGGATGGTGGGAGGGGATAAGATATAAACGACAGGTCGAGATAGAACCCAAAGAGAGAAGAACAGTTGTGCAACTTCTGTTTTTGTTTCTGATTTACAGCACCTGCTGTTCTTTCGGTTTTTATTTAGGTTTTAGTTTCTGTTTGGAGATTGCTTGGATTTTTCAGTTGGCCAACCTGCGAAAGAAAATCACCTTCCAAGCCCAGCTGTCCTGTTTCTGAAATAGAACATAGAACATTACAGTGCAGTACAGGCCCTTCGGCCCTCGATGTTGCGCCGACCTGTGAAACCAATCTGAAGCCCATCTAACCTAAACTATTCCATTATCATCCAAACCTTTTGTTAAGTGTCCACTGTGATACTGGAACCCTGGTTTGGGCTGAACCTGGATTAGTCTCCTGAAGATAGTATTTCCTGAGTAAGCTACATTGTCGAAGATCCAAAAACATCTTGTTTTGTAACCAATGTCTTTGTGCACCTGAATGCCAGATCAACAGAGATTTGAATGTTCCCTACATTATCCTTGTTTCTCTGACTTCAAAAGCAAAGACTTATTGGCTAGAAGATAAATCTTTGACAAGTTTCTTTTACCCCTTTACCTAGTGTGTGAAAGTGTATTTTGCTTCTTCTTTGATATAATATAATTCCATCACCACCTGACTCCCCAAAGTCTCTCCACTATTTAAATGGCACAAATCAAAAGGGTGCCTCGTTGAGTGCAGCTCCAACAACCATCAAGGAGCTCGCCACCATCCAGGACAAAGCAGCCCGCTTGATTGGCACCACCTCCACTCCTTCCACCACCAACACTCAGTCGCACCAGTGTGTCAGGTTCCTCGAATTCCCTCCCAGATGGGTCTACCTACAGCAAATGGACTGCAGTGATTCATGAAGATAGCTCACCACCACCTTCCTGAGGGCAACTAGGGTTAGGTAATAATTGCTGGCCCAGCTAGTGACTGCCACATTTCATGTCTGAAATTTTTAAAATATATATTTATATTAAGTATTTATATTTTTACATTAAAATGTTTGCCAGGCTTGCATCATCATTGCATAGATTTTGTTGATAATTCAGTCATTTTATTTTTGTTTATTAAAGGAACTTGGTTGATGGATTTTTTAAAGTCTAATGTACCCAGAATAGGGAAAACAATTACATTTATATTGTGACCTGTGGAGCCATGGGGCTAGGGTTAGTCTGGTCCAAATCTTGATGGAAATTCTCCCATCTCAGTTGTAACAAAACCAAGTCTGTATTAATGTTATTTGATTTTGGCTGAGGTAGCAGAGGGAGTACAGCTCTCTGAGGACCTTTAAAATATACTGCCCTGTTTGGACAGGAATGGCAGGATTCAAAAACCTTGCATGACAGGGGAACTATTAGCTTAGTCAAAAAAAAGGACCATACCTAAGGTCTAGGCAACTAAAAACAGACAAAGTCCTTGAAGAATATGGAGAAAGTAGAAAGGAACTCAAACGGAGAGTTAGGAGGCTCTGAAATGTCTTTGGCCAGCAGGGTTAGGCAGAATCCTGAGGCATTTTGTATGTGTGTTAGGAGCAAAAGGACAGTTAGGGAAAGAGTAGGCCTAATCAAGGATAAAGGAGGGAGGTTATGTGTGGAGCCAGAGGAAATGGGTGAGATCCTTAATGAGTATTTTATATTGGTATTCATCAAAGAGAGGAATATGATGGATGTTGAGGTTAGGGAACGGTGTGTGAGTATTCTTGGGCAGGTCAATGTAATGATGGAGGTGGTGTTGGATGTCTTGAAATGCATTAAGATAGACAAGTCTCAGAGCCAGACAGGATCTGTCCCAGGATACTGTGGGAGATAAGGGAGGAAATAGCTGATATCTTTGCATCTCTTTGACCTCGGGTGAGGTGCCAGAGGACTGGAGAAGGGCCAATGTTGCTCCTTTGTTTAAGAAGGGAAACAGAGATAATCCAGGTAATTACAGGCCGATGTGGTGGTGGGGAACCTGTTAGAGAAGATCTGAGAGACAGGATTGAGTCCTATTTGGAAGCAAATGGACTTGTTAGTGATAGGCAGCATGGGTTTTTGCGGGGAAGGTCGTGGCTCACCAGATGGATTAAGTATTTTTTTTGAGGAGGTGACAAGAATGATGAGGGAAAGGCAGTGAATGTTGTCTACATGGACTTAAGTAAGGCATTTGATAAGGTACCTCATGGCAGGCTGGTACAAAAAGCAATCTCATGGCATCGGGATGTGCTGGCCGAATGGGTAGAAAACTGGCTTGGTTGTGGAAGACCGAGAGTAACGGTGGAAAGGTGCTTTTCAGAATGGAGATCAATAACTAGTAACTTTGTTTATTAAGTTTAAAATGATCTGGAAGAAAATATAGGTGGTCTGATTACTAACTTTGCAGGTGAAACCAAAATTGGTGGAGTTGACAATTGTGAGGTGGATTGTCAAAGGATACAGCTGGCTATAGATGGATAGATTGCAGATTTGGGCAAAGAGATTCAGATGGAGTTTAATCTAGACACATGTGAGGTGACGCATTTTGGAAGATCAAATTCAGGTGTGAATTATACAATAAATGGCAGAACCCTTAGGACCATTAATACAGAGAGGGATCTGGGTGTACAGTTCCGCACATCCTTGAAAGTAGCAACACAGGTGGCTAAGGTGGTCGAGAAGGCATACAGCACACTTGCCTTCGTCGGCTGTAGCATCAAATATAAAAGTTGGCAAGTTATGTTACAGTTGTACAAAACTTTACTTAGGCCATGTTTGGAATATTGCATGCAATTCTGGTGATCACACTACCAGAAGGACGTGGATGCTTTGGAGAAGCTGCAGGGAAGGTTTACCAGGATGTTGCCTGGTCTGGAGGATTTCAGGTATGAGGAGAGGTTGGATAAACTCGGATTGTTTTCACTGAAAAGATGGAGGCCGAGGGTTGATCTGATGGAGGCCTATAGAATTGAGAGGCATAGATAGTGTGGATAGTTAGAGGCTTTTTCCCAGAGCAGAAAGGTCAACTACAAGAGGGCACAGGTTCAAGGTGAGGGGGAATAGTTTAAGGGAGAAGTGCAAGGGAAATTTTTCACAGGGCGATAGGTGCCGAGAATGCACCGCCAGTGGAGGTGGTGGAAGCAGACACGTTAACAATGTTTAAGGCGTACCTTGATGATCACATGAATGGGAGCAGAGGCAAAGAAACTGTGCATGGAAAATAAGTAGTGGATCTCAATTAGGATTAGAATCAGCGCAGGCTTGGTGGGCTGAAGGGCCTGTTCCTGCGCAGTGTTGCCTTGTGTTTACTGTATTGAAATTGTATGGTATCTAGAATTAAATTAGAGTCTAATAGACTTAATTAGCAAAGTGAAAAAGTAAACTTACAATTGCAGAATGTACGTTATGGGCTTTAAAAGATATTTTCACATTTGCAGTTCTTCAACATTCTGCAAGCACTGAATTGAAGGACTGTAACATACAATGCTGAACATCTCTTAAGGCAGCATCGTGGCACAGTGGTTAGCGCTGCTGCCTGTCAGCGCCAGGGACCCGGGTTCAATTCCACCCTCGGGCGACTTTCTGTGTGGAGTTTGTACGTTCTCCCCGTGTCTGCTTGGGTTTCCTTCGGGTGCTCTGGTTTCCTCTCTCAGTCCAATGGGATGAGGGATGTGGGTCTGGGTGGGATGTTTTTCAGAGATTAGTGTGGATTCAATGGGCCAAATGGCCTGCTTGCACACTAGGGATTCTGTGATTCTTTGATTCACATAGTCATCAAAGGCCGGAATTGAACCCAGGTCCCTGACACTCTGAGGCAACAGTGCTAACTATTGTGCCAGAATGCGATTCCAACTCTGGATATGAATAATGCCAGATTTTGGTTCATTGGAATCACAACATAATTTTAAGATTGAATTATGTATTGTCATTTATGGGCAAAAAACAGCTTTTGGAGGTCAGATACAGATCAGCTGTGATCTTTTTAAGTGGGGGAGTAGAATGAGGGGGATGAGTGATCTATTCCTGCTCCAGTGTATTATGTAGTACGAAAAGATTTCAATTTACAGGTGTAAAGACTGTTTTTTGTGCTCATGCTGTTGCGTTTCACTGCATTATTATATGTATCCTTCTCCAAACAGGGTCCACTTCCAAACTCTTGTGGTCACTTCTGGCAAATGGTTTGGGAGCAGAAAAGCAGAGCAGTTGTGATGTTGAATCGTGTCATTGAAAAAGGATCAGTAAGTGAAACATTTTCTTTAATATTTGTGCCTTAAAATTAACTGCATGAATTTATAGTTACACCTCTAAAAGATTCCACATTCTGAGAATTAATGGTACCAGGAAATGCAAATTATCATTTCAGTAAACTGCAAACAGGAGATTCTTGCACTCCTTCCCTACTTGACGTGCAAGTGAAATGGTGTAGTGATGCATTATATTGTGTTCAAGATTTTCTGTGTTTGGAGGCAGAGCCCCCACATCATTGCGCATCATGCATGCCATCTGGTGGAAGCACTAAGTACAATTATAACTACACTCCCTGAAAAACATGAATGACATCAATGCTGCCTATCAGCTGTTGGCTTGATAGCATTATGTTGACATTCTAAGTTACCTGCCTTCTCTTTCAGGCAGGAGAATGCTGTGACAAATGTGGGGTTTTCTTCTGGTTAAGCCAGTGTTTGCTGTCTCTTGTGTGCACTCCCTTCCCCATACTCAGTTGCACATGCTCCCTCCCCCTTCCTTTTGCATGCCCTCCCCGTGCCCTCTTTCCCCCCCCGCCCCCACTTATGTCTCTTTTCCTTACTTTTTCTCTCACTTCTGATTTTTCTCTATCCTTCCTCTTCTCGCTCTCCATTTCACCACACCCCCCCGCCTTTGCCTGCCTAAAGGGGGACAGTAAGGCGTTGATGAGATTGAATAATGTCAAACTCTGGAGTAGGTTCAACAGACTAATGGCCTACCCATGTTCCTACCAAGTGAACCGCTCGATAGATTGCAGTTTTGCAACTGCACCTGTGCCTCATAACAACTTACAGGTTTTGTTTTTGTAGCTTGTATTTTTTTTATTATTCTGAGAAACAAAATGGTAAATATTATCTTTTTTGCTTTGCAGGTAAAATGTGAAAAGTATTGGCCAAGCAAGGAAGATGAAGTAATGTCATTTGAAGACACTCAGTTCAGCTTAAAATTGTCGTCTGAAGACGTGAAATCATACTACACTGTCCGACAACTGCAATTACAAAGAACTTCAGTAAGGATATTGGCACAGTTACACAACTGTAAACGTAGCGGTGATTGAACATATTTCCTCCCACCTTGATATAAACCAGCTAACGCACATCCAGTGTATGCTATGCCTGACCTGATCCTGCTGCTTGTGTACTGAGCTCAAGCCTTTCCTTAGATCTGATGTTTGCTTGCGTCTTCCTGGTTATTTGCTGGATCATGTGCTGCGGGCTGAGGGTGAAGCTGACTTCAAAGCATTCCGCCTGCTGTTTAAAAACAGTGAGCAAAACATTGATTTTCAGTGTTCATCTTATTGACCTGAAAGAAGAAATCAGTTCAGTATACTCCTCTCCTTCAGATCCTACATTCTTTGGGGACCTGAGCACACTGCCTCAGGCACACAGCTTGTAGGCACAAGGCCATTTCAGACCTCTTCTAAGTGGAGATTTGGAAAAATGGGGTGCTGCAGCTTTATTTGCAAGTTTTTGTTTAAACATAGGATCATTCATTCAGCCTGCTGTACTGTGCAAAATGATTATCATTGTCAACTTAATTGCACTTTTCTGCCTATCTTCTGCCTGTCTGCCTAAAAATCTGTCTAACTGTAACTCTGAGATGAGATTCCTGAGGCCTTGACAGAGATCTTTCTGTCCTCATTAGCCACAGGCAGGATCCTAAAAGACTGGAGAATAGCCAAAGTTGTTCCTTTGTTCAAGAAGGGAAACAGGAATAATACAGGAAATTGTAGGCTGGTGAGACTTCCATCAGATAGGGAAATTATTGGAGAAGATTCTTAGGGACGGGATTCCTTGCATTTGAGAAATATGGACTTATTAGGAGTAGTCAGCACGGCTTCATACAAGGACGTCTTGTGATTGCGGTTTTTGAGAAAGTGATGAAGCTGATTGAGTTTGAGGCAGTGGATGTTGTCTCCATGGTCTTTGCCAGAGCATTTGACAAGGTCCCTTATGGTAAGCTTCTCCAGAAGATCAAATCACGTGGAGTCCATGGTGAGATGGTCAGTTGGATACAAAGTAGGCTTGGCCATAGAGACAGAGGGTAGTTGTGGAGTAGTGTTTTTCTGACAGGAGATCTGTGACCAGTGGTGTTCTGCAAGGATCAGTGCTAGGACCTCCGTTGTTTGTAATGATTTGGAAGATGTTCATGCAGATTAGTAGGTTTGCAAATGACTTGAAAATTGGTTGAGTTGTGGATAGTGAGGAAGGATAACAAAGGATGCAGCAGGATATAGATCATTTGGAAAGTTGGATGGAGAAATGGCAAGCGGAGTTTAATCCAGATAAGTGTGTGAGTTGCATTATGGGAGGTCAAATGCCAGGGGAAATTGTACTGTAAGTGGCTGCACCCTTGGGAGCATTGATTATACAGAGGGATCTTAAGGTGCAAGACCATACTCTGTGAAACTGGCAACACTAGTGGAAAAGATGGTAATGAGGCATGGGTTGCTTGCCTTCGTTGGTCGAGGCATTGAGTATAAGAGTAGGTAAGTTGTGTGGCAACTGTATTAGAGTTTGATCAGGCCACGTTTGGAGTACTGTGTGCAGTTCTGATCACCACAGTATAAGAAGAATGAGGTGGCTTTGGGGAGGATGCAAAAAGAGGTTTGTTGCCTGGAATGGAATGTATTAGCTTTAAGGAGAGGTTGGACAAACTTGGATTGTTTTCACTAGAGCGACGGAGGCGAGGGGTGACCTGACAGAAGTATATAAAATCATGAGAGGCATGGATAAGGTGGACAATTGGAGTCCCATTGCTCTCTGGCAGAGAATTCCAAGCACAAATAGCTCTGAGAGAAGAACAACCTCCTCAAATCTTTGGGTGGTTAAGATGGACATTCGGAATCTCTTTCCGAGGGTGACATCAGTTTAATGTGGTAGGAGGAAAGTTCAAGAGAGAAGTATGAGGGAAGTTTTTTTTTTCACCAAACAGTGTAGTAGGTGCTTGGGTTGCGTTGCCGGGGAGGTGGTAGAAGCAAATACAATGTCAAGGTTTGAGGCATTCAGACCCAAGAACAGGTAGAGAATAGAGGTGGGCAGATTGGATTAGTTTAGAATGGCATCACGGTTGGCACAGGCATGGTGGGCTGAAGGGCCTGTTCCTAAACTGTTGTATTTTCTATGTTCAACCTTGAAAGTACTCCATAACCTAGCCCCATTGCTCTCTGGAAGAGAATTCCAAACACACAGCTGAGAGAAGAAAATCCTCCTCATACGTTTTAAATCAAGAGTCAAAGTTTTTACATCATGGGGGGAAGAAAGCCTTTTGGCCTATCGTGTTTACACTGGTCATCAAGCATCTATCTATTCTAATCTCATGTACCGGCACTTGGCCTGTAGCCAAGGGGACCCATAAATGGGGAACCCCTTTTTAAATCCTGTTTCTTGCAAGTCTAAAAAACTTATTTTTTCTCTGAAAAATGTAGACCCAGTCCCCTTTTCTAAACATTATTTAAAGAAAACTTCAATTTTAAATAATGGTCCCAAAACAACTGAAATTCTTCTGGTTTGAGATATATTCTCTCTTTTATGCATTTAAAGTTTCTTGACCATTAAAGAAATTTTTGTATGGTCTGAAACTGTAGATTCTGAAATACTTTTCCTGGTTTTAACGACAATTTAACTTGTTAACTTGTTCTTATTTTGTCTTGATAGACTGGAGAGACCAGAGAGATCCTACACTTCCATTATACTACTTGGCCTGATTTTGGAGTACCAGAATCCCCTGCTTCATTCCTTAATTTTCTGTTAAAAGTGAGGGAATCTGGCTCATTGAGCTCTGATTGCGGACCTGCTGTCATTCACTGTAGTGCAGGCATTGGGCGTTCTGGTACCTTCGCATTAGTAGATACTTGTCTTGTTTTGGTGAGTAATTGTGTAACAACTTATGAAAACCTTGAGCTGTTATCCCTTTCTGATGTAAAATTATAATGCCAAAGGCTGATTTAATGTTGAGACAGCAGATCATGTTATAAGACCGTAAGGTATAGCAAGATTAGGCCATTCGGCCCAGCGAGTCTACTCCATCATTCGATCATGGCTGATTGTTTTTCAACCTCATTCTCCAGCCTTCTCCCTGTAACCCTCGACGCCCTTAGTAATCAAGAACCCATCTGTCTCTATCTTCTTACTAAATACACTCAATGATTTGGCCTCCACAACCCTCTGCGGCACTGAGTTCCACAGATTAACCATCCTCTGACTGAAGAAATTCCTCCTCCTTATCTCAATTCTGAAGAGGCATCCCTTCACTCTGAGGTTGTGCCCTTGGGCCCTAGCCTCTTGTAGCCCTGGAAGCATCTTCTCCACATTTGTTCAATCCAGGCCTCTCTGTATTCTGTAAGTTTCAATGAGGTATCCCCTCATTCTTCTTAACTCATCGAGTACAGGCCTAGAGTCTTCAACAACTCCTCGTTGACAAGCCCATCATGCCCAGGATCATTCTTGTTAACCTCCTCTGGACCCCTTCAAGGCCAGCACAATTTTCCTTAGATACAGGGCCCAAACTGCGCTCAATGTTCCAAATGTGATCTGACCGGAGCATTATACAGCCTCAGCAGTACATCCCTTCTCAGTCGTTTAGCCCTCTCGAAATGAATGCTGACATTGTATTTGCCTTCCTAACTGTCAATTGAACCTGCATGTTAACCTTAGAGTCCTGAACTTAGGATTCCCAAGTCCCTTTGTGCTTCAGATTTCTGAGGCCTTTCCCTGTTTTGAAAATAGTTTGTTTCTTCTTACCAAAGTGTGTAACCTCACCCTTTATCACATTTCCATCTGTCATGTCTTTGCCCACTCTCCTAGAGGCTCCTTTGGTGCCTTCCCCACTTCCTCAACACCACCTGTCCCTTCACCTATCTTTTGTCATCTGCAGACTTAATGCCCTCAATTCCTTTGTCCAGATTGTTAATGTGTAACATGAATAGTTGTGGTCCCAACATTGACCTCTGCAGAACTCCATTAGTCATCGGCTGCCATCCTGAAAGGACTCCTTTATCCCCCTTTCCTGTCTTCTGCCAGTCAGCACATCAGCCTCATTTGGAACTACATTGCTGGATAAAAATCCTGGTACTTTATCCCTAACAGCACTGTATGCACACATTGGTGGTGTTTCAAGAAGACACCTCACCATCGCCTTTTCAAGCAGTTAGGGGTGGGGGAAAAAATGTTGGCCTTGACAGTGATGCCCATATCCCATGGTATTTTTGTTTTTCAAATTACGTTTAGGGTCTAAATTGTGTGTTCAGCAGGATATTTTTCTTATAGATGGAGAAACGCAAAGATCCTTCCACTGTGGACATCAGAGAAGTATTATTAGAAATGCGAAAATATCGGATGGGACTCATTCAGACTCCAGATCAGTTGAGATTTTCATATATGGCAGTTATAGAGGGAGCAAAATATATCAAGGGAGATTCATCTGCACAGGTAAATATGTAATTATTTCTGATATATGACATTGCTAACCACAATTGACAGTCCAAAATAGGATTTCACTTTCTCCAAGGAGAAAGGTAATGTGAAGGACAGGAGAGGATGAACAGCAACAGGATGAAGATGGCTTTCCTTATGGTTTTCATAAAACATGAATGTCATTTTCTTTTCAGATTACAACTTCTTCACTTGTCATTCATCTCTCAAAGAACTTGAGCAGTAACTTGTAGTTGTAAGAAGTTCTCGGACTGAGAGTTTGATAATGCTCAAAATGCATAATTGCATAAACCCCCTATAAAATCTCTTGTTGAGTGCTGCTTGCTTGCATTTATTTTTGTAGTAATTTATCCTTTGAGAGTAGTTATTCTGTCAAAGAAGTCCAAAGCTTTTCCACCCTTATGCAGTTTAGATATTTTCTCCTTGATTGACATTTTTTCTTTAGTTCCTTGTTAGGCTCTCCACATGGTTCGTTGGCTGACATACAAATATGAAAGAAAATTCTTTCATGAAGCTCTGATGTTGAAAATCCCTTCTGTCTTCAGGGTCAGAAATCATCGAGATATCTGACACATATAAAGAACATTTCTGTAGCACCTTGACTGTAGTAAAAGGACTTGAGACACTTCTCGAGTGTTTATTCTACTTTACTACTTTAAGTAGTGAAGTGGATTGACGTAGTTCTCTACAACAAAAAGCATACATCACTGTGGTCTGGGGATGCCAGAGCTGGGATGTCTTCTCTGGGCTGGCGAAGTACCTGGCAGTGGTCATGGTCCATGTGAATACCAACGTCATTGGTTGACTGGGAAAGACTTTCTGCAGACAGAGTAGGAAAAGCTAAACTCTAAATTAAAGAGCAGCACCTCAAAAGTAATAACTAATTACTAATAACTGGATTACTAATTGAGCCATGTGCTAAGTAATGTAGGATAAATACAATTAGAGAAAAGATTGTGCGGTTCAGAGACTGGTGTGGGGGATGTAACTTTCAGTTCTTGGGATACTGACACCTGAGCTAGGGAGAGTGGGACCTGTACCTTTGGTAAGGTCTACACTGAAACAGTGCCAGGGTTTGTGTTTCAGGAAGCTTGATGACTGTAGAGTAAAGATCTTTTAAAAAGCAATTAGTGAGGTATGAAGCTTTGGTTGACATAGTAAGTCAAGGGGTGATATCAAGGCAGGAGAACAAAATAATGAGAACTGAGCACCAAAGAATGTTATGAAAACTACAAAGTAAATGAGTTGATGGTGCATATTCAAGTAAATAAATGTGATCTGATGGCCACTGTGGAAGCATGGCTGCATGACATTCAAGAGGGACTGTGTAAAGGTGAAGGGATAGCATTGTTAATCAAAGGTTATGTTGGCGCACTAGTTAAAGATAACCTTGGTTCAGGAGATCAGGATGTAGAATCAGTTTGGGTGGAGATAGATAGATGGGTATAGTAGGGGAACACTAGTGGGAGTAGTCTATAGGCTCCCTAACAATAACTACAATGTAGGAAAAAGTATGTAAGAAGCATGTGCTTGTGACAAAGGGACAGCAGTAACTACAGGTAATTTTAATCTGCGCGCAAACTGGAAAATCAGGTTGGCAATGGTAGCCTGGATGAAGAAGTTATAGAATTCTTTTAAGATCATATCTTAGAGTAGCTTGTTCTGGAACTAACCAGAAAGAAGCTTATATTAGTCTTGGTATTATATCATGTGGCAGGATTAATTAATTGTGTCAGAGTAAAGGCACTTCTGTGCAACAGTGACTGCAATATGGTTGAATTTTACATTTACTCTGCAAGGGTGAAGTGTGGGCCTAAGACTAGTATTTATAATTAAATGAAGGCGACTATGTCAGCATGAAGGTTAGCTTGCTAAAGTGTACTGGGGGATGCTAGGCTCGGGGAGAGATCAGTAGAGATGTGGTGGCAGATGTTTATAGCCTATTTCTGAATACTCAGCAATATTCCAAGGTGGGGGAGTCACCATTGGCTAACTGAAGCTAAGGAAAACATCAAAAGCAAGGAGAAAAGCGTATTAGATTACGGCACATTGGCACATTAGATTATTGGTCAGAATATAAAGAATGGCAGAAAGTGTCTTAAAGGTTAATTAGGAGAAAGAAATTGCAGATTGGAAATGAGAGAGGAAGCTTGCTCAAAGTGTCAAGATGGATAATGAGTTTCTTTAAGTATCTAAATAGGAAGAGTAGGTGGAGTGAGTGTTTGTCCTCTGGAGAGTGAGAATGAGGAGTTATTTGTTGATGATAAGGAAATGGCAGATGAAATATACAAATATTTTACTTTAGTCTTATTTTGTAGAGGATACAAAAAGCATTCCAGTAATAGCTGTAAGTCAGGAGGTGGAAGGATAAACTTGGTGAAATGACAATCAAAGTGGTACTGAGCAAACTGATGGAGCTGCAAGCTGACAAGTCTTTGGGTCCTGATGGATGTCATCCTGGGGTCTTAAAAGGGATGGCTAATAAGGCAGTTAGTCAATAGGTTATTTTCCACAAATTCATTAGATTCTGGAAAGGCTCCATCAGATTGGAAAGTAGCAAATATAACCCATCTCTTCAAGAAGGAAAGGAGGGAGGAAGAAAACAGGAAACTAACAATGAGCTTTGACGTGTGTCATTTAGAAGATATTAGAATTTATTGTTAAGGAAATTATACTGGGGGGGATTAAAAACAAGGTAATCAGGACAAGTCAGCACGGTTTTGTGAGAGGAAAATCATGTTTGACCAATTTAAAGGAGTTCCATCCGACTGATGGTAAAAAGGAGCTCATACTGCACTTGAATTTCCAGATGACATTTGATAAGGTGCCACCTTAAAGAATTTCAGACCAACAGATAGATTAAGTGAGTGCACAAAAATCTGGCTGATGGAATATGATGTGGTAAAATGTGAAGTTGATCACTTTGGCAGGAAAAATAAAAAAGCAGCGTACTGCCTAAATGAATGACTATAGAATTCCGAGGTGTAATGGGATCTTGGTGTATGAGTTCCAAATTGTGCAGGTGCAGCAATTAATTAATAAAGCTGATGAAATGCTAACAGACAGAAAGTGCTGGAGAAACTCAGCGGATCTGACAGAATCTGTAGAAAGATAAACCCTTTATCAGAACATCCTGGACTTAAAACTTTTTTTTTGATATAGATGTTGCCAGACCTGCTGTGTTTCTCCAGCATTTCTGGTTTTGTTTCATTTAACACCTCTAGTTTTTTTTTATTTTAATGAAATGCTATCCTTTATTGCGAGAGGAATTGAACGTAAAAGCAAGCATTCTGAAGAAGAATCATAACTTGACATTTAATTCTGTTTCTGTATTCACAGTCTGATCTGTTAAGTTCTCCAGCATTTTCTGTTGTTATTTCCAATTTCCAGTACCTTGCAGTATTCATAATAATAAACACATTATGGTCAGTTAAACAGTGCATCAGTGATACCATATCTCACGTGCTTGGCGGTGGTTCAGAGTGAGTATAGTAGATCAGTACCTGCAATGAGCATGTTGCTTTATCAGGAAAGGTTGGACAATCGGGTCTTGTTTCCACTGGAGTTGAGAAGAGTGAGGGGTAACTTCGTCGAAATGTGTAAGAACCTAAACAGTATTGAGGAAAAATCGTTTCCTCTTGTCGATGAATACAGAACCTTGGGTGCTGATTTAAAGCTAGGTGTTTGCTCTTTTGTGCCAGAGATGAGAATTCATTTCCTGTTGGTAGTTGTGTGAATTTGAACCTCTCTGCATCAGAAGGCAGCGGAGGTGAGTCATTAAATATTTTTTAAGGCGGTGTTGGATAACATTTTGCTAAGCAAAGGAATTAAAGCTTATCAGGAGTAGATGAAAATGTAGAATTCATAAAATAGCACACCAAGCCATGAACTTATTGAATGACGGTACAGGTTTGAGAGGCTGGATGGTGTACTTTTGCTCTTAGTACATATATTTGTCCGTCATGCAGAGGGGTAAACCTTTTAAATCTCACTAAGCAAATGCTTTGATCAAATGTTAAACAAAGCATTAACCTATAAAATTTAAGTGTCTTTGTAATTTGTAAAATCATGGATATGGTTAGGAATTAATCTGCATCATATTTTTAAAAATTCTGCCATCAACAATACTAATTTAAACCATCTAGTTCCTAAAGGACAGGTGGCACCCATGAATTTACTTGTGATATTTAAAAATTTAGAATTTCAAAAAATACATTCATGGGTTGTGGCTGTTGCTGGCTAGATGAGCATTTGTTGTCCATCCCTAATTGCTCTTCAACTAAGTGACTTGCAATGCCTTTTCAGAAGACTGTAAATCATCCCCTTTGGTATGGGTCTAGAGTTGCAGGGGGTCAGATCAGGTAAAGTCTGTCACCACTTACGTAAGTTGGGAAATCCCTCCATTTAGATTTGTTCTGTTTGTTTGCGCCTGGATCTGGAACAGCTTTGAAAACACAAATTTAACAAATAGATCTTTCTGCTTATTTTACGTAATTGGTTTACAAATAGTTGTCTGGCTTCTCATTGTATTGATATCAGCATCTGATGTTGTGAGATTTACTTGGTATCATCCTGTAGGATAATATGTGACTGAAAATATCATCAACAAAAGCTTTCAGATCTCAAACAATATTGTCAGAACCTCCTCGACACTCCATATCTTCAATTTTGTCATTACTTCAAAATGTTATTTTTTTGATAGGAAGGTGAAAATTTGTTTTCATTATGCTCCTTCTAAGGACAATTCCAAGTGTGATTTCCATCTTTCGCTTTGATAGTTCTTCAGCTTTTAGCCATGTTGGTCATGCATTTTAATGCTCTCCCCTTGAATCCCTCTGCTTCTTTACTCGCCTCAGATGTATAGAAAGGCTTCAAGAAAGCTATCTTTTTTTGATCAAACTTTCAGGGACACTCTCTTATTTGCCTTCTCTTCTCTTATGCTCTATACGCCCAATATGTTCAAAATTAAATGATTGATTTAAGTCTGATCTGTTATTTAATTAAATCTTGCTGATCTGTATCTGAACCCCATTTCTCACTTGTCCCGATTCTATTTGATATCCCCTTCTAACAAAACTCTGTCTCAAAAGTTCCGTTTGACTCTGAGATTTTGTCCAAAATTTGTTTGGGAAGAGAATTCTTTGATTCACTTCTGAATAATCTTGCTGTGATTTTCAGATTATACCCTTTTATTCTTGTGCTCATCCATGATGATGTGAATTTGTTCTCGAAATTTACCCAAGCAAATAATTTAAATTTAAAAATTACAATCAGATCACCCCCTTGATTTTCTGAACTTGAGGGAAATAAGACCATGTTTATGTAGCCCGTTCCCATTATATAACTCTTGTGTATCGTGCATTGCACCCCCTCCAAGACCAATATCTTTTTAAAAATTCCATTTGGAATCTGTCTAAGGCTCTGTACAATTGACACATTGCTTTCTCACTTTTGAATTATAAACAAAATAAAGACCAATATTCCATTAATTTTTTAAAATTGCATTTTATTCCAGTGCATGCACTTGTGTGATTTGCTTAAATGAACACCTGCATCCATTTGTTCCTCAACATCTCCTAATCTTTCACCACTAATAAATTGTTGTCTTGGATCCAAAAGGATGACCTCTCACTTTGCAGACTGAAGTCTATCTGCTTTAGTTTGTTTGTTTCCTTGGTGCTTCCGATGTTATTGGGCTATAATTTTATTTGCTACAAATTGTTAGAGTATTGTACGTTTATCCTTTAACATATTCAAACTAAATGCTTCATCCATTTATATGTATATACACTTCATTCATTACATCAGAAAACAATATTTTAATGCAGAGCAGTAATATATAAAATTGCTTCTCATTCTAATTCATTTTCATCACTGAAGAGCCATCTCTAACTTGCAGTATTTGCTTGTGTTATTCTTTTATTTCCAGTTTATTTGGTCCAGCTGATACTACTTTTATTTTAATAAATACTTTATTTGTACCTCTCCTTTTACAGCCTTTAAAAACTCCTCAGTTTATTTGCTGCCTTCCCACTTTGTGATCCATATGACTGACTCCCTTCTCCGTGACAAAATACACGCAGGTGGTTGGAAACACTTTGAAGAAATGACTGTTGTGTGTATTAATTAGCGAGGGTGACCTAAGTAGGTTCTGAGAAGGAAGTGTGATGCTGCAGAATGGTATTTCCATGCATGACAAAATTAGCAAAAAGCTGATCATCCATAATAGGACTCTGTGTTAGTTGCTCCTTAATCATCCAAGAGAAGGATTTCACTTGTAGGTGTGTTACCTAACTTGGATAACTGGGGTGAAATGGCACATGACTGTGAGAAACTCGAAACCTTCAAATTTCCTCCTTCACACATACACATGTACTTTATCATATCTCCTATCTTTTAATCTGTTATTGCATGATTTCTCTTTGCTTTTATATCTTCCATTCTTGATGTGAAAGATCATTATCCAACAAGAGTCTCTGCAACATAGGCCTACTTTGTGCAACAGCATTTAAGAAGAAATCACAGAACAGCCTGTAGAAACCATGTTTGATGAATCAGTCACCAAGTTTTAACTTTGTGACCCAAGACACATCTTTGAGGATTTTCCTCCAATCTTTAGAGTGCTACATTTAAAATTGTAATGGGTCAGTAGTTTATAAGAGTCAAAGTTGACAATGCTAAGCAAGGATCCAATTAACTCATATATGATGCTTTGTTACAACATGTTTTGTCTTGGGATGGGTGAGCTAAATTAGCATTTTGATGATAGAAATATATCAATCACTTACAAAACTAATCCTCTAGTAGGGAAGGGTAGGGCAGGTATGAGAACTGGGAGCAGGAGTAGCTATTCAGCCCCTCGACCTTTCTCTGCCATTTAATACAATCATGGCTGATCTCTTCTTGGCTTCAATTTCGTTTTTCTAAACGTTTCAAATAATCCCTTAAACATTAATTAAAAATCTGTCTATCTCCTCATCGTATTTATTCTGTGTCCTGGTGTTCATTGCACTTTGGGATAGTGAATTCCACAGAATTGTGACCTTTGAAAAGTAATTCCTCCTCATTAATATTTAGCCTAATATTTAATATTTAGCATAATACTTTTGTCTTGTTCTTGATTGCCCACAATGGGAAACATCCACTGGTCATCTGCTTTATGAATGCCTTTAGCATCTTGTGTACCTCAGTTAGATCTCCTCTCATCCTTCTAAACTCTAGCAAGTATTGGCCTAAATTGCTCGACTACTCCTCATAAGACCAACTTTCATCTCTGATTAATCTAGTTTTACTTGTGTTGAGAAGGGATGAAACAAGTGGGCCAAGGAGCAACTTCATCTATACCTGTATCTATGGTGTGAATTTGTGACCTCATTATGTAGTTAAGTTTGTAAAAATTATGCAGAGTCCTGTTAATGGTGAAAGATTGGTGAGACAATTTATTCACACAAAAGTTGATGCATTTTCCTATCTTTTTGCTTTTAAAAAATTGATGTTGCTGTGAAAAGGCTGAGCATGGTTTTCGCTTCCTGCAACTTGCTTTTGGCATTTTGTAACCATAAAAAACAGAACAAGGTTTTCATTATTTTTTTCTGTGTTAATAGAAGAGATGGAAAGAGCTATCTAATGAAGACCAAGATCCTGTAACTGATCATGCATCTCCACCTCCTCAGCCTCCAAAACGCACCCTTCCACGACAGAATGAAAATAGGGATCCTGATATAACGATGGAAGAAACAATAGAACCAGAAAATAACAGCTCTACGGAGGAACCCTTTGGCAAAGAACAAGAAAACACAGAGAACAAAGCCAAGTATGTAAACTGATATTGTTTTAAAACTAAATATGTTACCCAGTTTCTTCTATTTGGTGTACAAATAATAGAAAATCAAGGAACAGAAGAGAAGTAGAAACGTAAATCAATCATTCAAGAAAAAGTATTCAGAAATCTAATAATGCTACGAGTCCCCACGACCTGATGACCTGCATCTTGTATGGTTTAAGAGTTAGCTACAGAGATGATGGATTTATTGGTTGAAATATTTCAAAATTCCCTGTTTCTAGAAAGATCTCAGTAGATAAGAAAACATACTTGTGCCACTCTATTCAAGAAAGAGGGAGAGACAAAGCTATAAGCAGTGAACCATAGCCCAGTCACCCTAATTGGGATTGGGAAAATGCTAAAATCCTTTAAAACTGAAGTAGAACAGAACGTTTAGAAGATCATAACACAATCAGACAGAATCAATTCAAATGTGTGAAAGGGCAGTATACTTGAAAGTTTTATTGCAGCTGATTTGATGCAAATGGCAAAAATTGTCTTTTACAAGCTTGTATGTACGTTTAACTATCCTACAGTATTAATTTAACTTGTCCTCCAATTTAACTTTGTTGAATTCACTTAGTATCTTGTATCACAGGGTCCTTCCTAAATATATCATCGATATGAAAGTGACTTACTGTATCTTTTGACAGATGAGGATGGCTACAAGTATAAACCTTTTGACACTGCTGATCTCCTAGAAAAAAAGTACCCTCTTGTTCATGTTTTTTCCCTTGATGCAAATCCTTTCCAACAGATTTCTAACCATTATGATTAAGACATGACTGTTGGATGTTTTAGCTCTTGGTGTCAGTCAATTTGTTATGATCTTTCCATTTGCGTAGATCTCAATGTAATCTTTTGTGGTCAAGACACTAAACTCATAAGTTAAAATGGTAGCTTTCATTTGATAATATAGGGAATGGTCACGGTGGCAATGTGGTTTCTTAAGCTCTTATAGCACGGATGTTCCTAAGTGAAGTTTAGTCTTTCCACTAAAATCAAAAGATTTATGGTAATTCCTCTTGTGAAGGTAGAATGCCATTGTAAGGATGACAGCAGCTGCTGATGTGGCAGGTAATCCTTGCAAATTTCATGAGATATTTTGTTAAATTCATTCCAAAAAGAGGACCTGATAAATCACTTTTTGGAAAATAAAGCAATTTTTGTATCAGTGTTCTTAAAGGAAATATTCACTTTTACAGGAGATCTACAGACAGCATGAAAATTAATTATGTTGACTTTAAATAGAACAAAAAAGACAAACTGTGCAATGAAATGGCACTTTTTTTTTTCTTGATAATGCCTCTTCAGTTTCCTTTCTATTCCTTTTAGTTTTTGCATTATATCTGTGCGGAAATCATTCTTGAGCTTCCACTGTTGCTGCTCTGAACTGGTGACTAAGGAGCATATGATTGACCTTTTGAAGATTTACTGTTTAGAATGCACTCTGTTTTTAATGCAGGGAAGTAATGCAATCTGCTCAATCCTGTTCTACACCTCGCGTCTGCATCAAGAGTCTCAGTCCTAGTTCTATCAGTGTCCCACAAATCCATAGGCTTTCACATGCTACTCCTTCCTGTTGTATGGAAGAGAAGTACTAAATGGATTATTTAAAACATTTTTATTTGTACTAATTGGCTGATAAATCATTTTCTTAATTGCCTTCCAGTAACCTTCGGAAACGACATCGTGAGGATAGGATAGCAAGTACAGCGCAGAAGGTGCACAGAATGAAACAGAAACTAAGTGAAACTGAGGTGAAACGAAAAAGGTGGTTATATTGGAGACCTGTTCTCATTAACATTGCTGCAGTTGCTACTCTTGCAGTTGGAGCTATTGTTTGCTGCTCTATGTACTTCCAAAGATAAATTGTATAACTATGCATTTAATGACGTGCAGAGGCATGTTACATCAGAGGTGTAAGGTGCTGAGGAATCATATCTCCCTTGCACAAGAGCAAGGTGTTTATTTGAGGATTGACAGGTCAGAGGATAATGCACTAGAATGGGGGTACTGCTTGTGTTTTACTCAAGTTTGCAGCATTGATTCTCAGGTTCTTTATATTGCCAGGTGTTTGGATAATTAAAACCACCGAATAGAAAAATCTTGTTGTAAATATGTTATCAGATCTGTTCTGCAATAAACATTTAGTTAAAAATTGTGCTTCCATTGAAAGCAGTCTCTCTCCTGTTTCTTGCTGGTGTTTTCCAGGAGGAAGTTGTTTCTGTTTTGTTTTTGCTACATCGTGGGACACCTGTACCTAGCAGAGTGGCTATCTGATGAAACCCTAAAATTTAGCAGGCTGTTTTGAGTTTTCGTTCCCGTGAAAGTCAAACCAGCAAGTAACAGGAAGAAACTTGCCTTGCCACTGGACCTCTTCCTTATTGTTTTAGCCTGCTGCTGCTGTTCTTCATTTCTTAAACTGTTTTTTCCTCCTTTTCAATCAGCAGAATTGCTGTACACTTAAAAGCATTTCCATGATTTTCTTGTTAAAGAAAAAACCTCAGGCATAAAATATTATTTTTCTTTTGGTTTTATTTACGCTGCTGTGCATAGTGTGCAGTTGGTCATTTAGCAAGGGCATAGGAAGATTTCTGGAAATACAATTTTTAATTTCTTTTTCAAACATCAAACAGTGACTGAAATATTTGGATTGTTTACTGGATCATTATGTATGTTTAAAATACTAGTTAACTCCTTAACCCATAGAGGTTTCAAAGAAATGTGCTATCCTTAGATAGGCCATTCATTTTCATGATTGAATGAAGTATGTTTTCCAGTTTGAGTATTGAATATTTCGCAATAACTTTTTTTATTCAACACTTTGATTTTCTCGACATGCTATCTACAGTATTTAGAAACAATAACCATGCCTTTTTTAAAGAAAATACTCAATACGTTGTAAAGGCACTGTTGCATAAATGCTGCCAAGATGTCCAAAGATGCTTCTGTGGGTTAAAGAGTTGAGAAGTGTTTCTTGCTAGTGTTGGTTAATAATGTGACTTTCCGAATATGAAATAGTGGAACAAGGCTATGTATTGGCCCAGGAGGGGAAATCTGTTGACATTAACACAACAGATCCCACTCAATAAATTGTTGCAGTTTTACATTCCAGTAAGACCAGTTGAATAATATTTAGATTTCAGTGGTTCGTTATATTGTATATTTGTATTGGAGATAATGCAACATATAATAAAATGAGGGGTTGTTGTAAACTTACTGGTTCAGGTTCTGAGGATGTAAATAGTGCAGATCTGTTCTAAAATGCAGTACTGATTGCTACAAGATATGATTGATGACCCATACCAATGCATTAGCATTCTTTCATGCTAGAAATCTTGCATCACATTAAATTTTATTATTTATTATTGATGTGCTCCTTAAAGTTCAGTCCATATTTTTGTTTAAACTCCATTTTTTTCAAAGAGAAAATTCAAGTTCTTGGACCAGTTATTTTACAATCCTGTGTGGCGGGTTGAGGGGGGAGCAGAAATAAAGTTGTAAGCCTTGATGACAATGCACTGACAGGCTTAAAAATGGATTGTATCAATAATTTATTCTTGACTGATTACTGACAACCATAAGCAATATGTAATGCATTAAGGATATCTAGTCTGTTGTTACAATTCTGTATTGAAAAAATCGTTTACCCTCTCTACCCCCACCAAATCCTGAATGTGACAAGGGACACATTGCGGGCAGTGTTTCTTTTCACAGACTGGATATGCACTGTTTCCTCTTCCCTTTCATTAACTCTAGTATGTGAACTGTGAACATTTGATAGTTATGTTTCTCATTCTGCTTTTCTTCTCATGTAGGACTAATGTTGTAGTTCAATATATGAGGAATTTTCTATGTTTCAACCATTTTTAGCACCATAAAAGCAATTGCATCTGAAAATTGTGTCAGAGTTGTTCACATTTTTCTTTCAGTTCTCATTCATTTAGAAGATAGTGAGGTTCTGTAGTTCCTCATTATTTTCATAAGTTTATATTACTTACTTTCACATTAAAGTACCATAAACTATTTGACCAATAACTTGTCAAATTTGATACAGCTAGATTCAAACTGAGTGAAGTTATTATATTTGTTAAACTAGCTGAATAATTCACTAATAAGGTGAAGATGCCATTAGAAGGGCTCCTTTAAACGCTGAAACTAGTTATTAAAAACAAATGTAAGGGAAGGGCTAGGCTGTTTGTTTTTTTTTTGTGTGGTGGGGGGAATGATTGGAGAGCTAAAATACTTGACATATTGGTCTCTAAGAATCATAACTTTGGAAAAGAAATTCAAATTTTCAGTCAATAGCTTAAAAAAAACATGACACGATTTCATTTTTTGGATTTTTTTCCCGTAATAAATGATTGAAAGCACTAGTTAACTGAACTGTTTTCGTAGGCAACTTGTACTTTAAATTACAGAAGAAAACATTAATCTCTTTTACTTATAACCCGATGCTCCTCATGGAATTACAGTTCTTAAAGCATAAAGTCTAGAATTGCTTCCAGAAATCTGGCCTAGCGAGCAACACCCATGTCCTGTGAATGAATTAATCAAAAACCTAATGGTTTTCATTTCAAATGAAATCCTTCAAGCGTTTCCATCAGTTTTTTTCAGAGTTTTCCAATGCCACTATCAATGGTCAAACCCACTCCGATCATTCTGATCTGGATGTGCCAGGACAAATTTCCCTGGATTTCTTAAATGGGTGCAGGAAGTGGCTCTTCAGCTAACAACCATCTCCCTCTTGCATTTGGCTTTGGTAGATCAAAGTGAACCTGCAACCTCTTCTGTTTGCTGACCACACCAACTGTTGTTTTATGTGTCTTTCTAGCGTTCTTTCTTCATCAAAATCATGGAGCTGGGAACTCTCTTTATAGTACAGCTGAACCTTGCCCTTTCATCAAATCCCTACAGTGTGGAAACAGGCCCTTTGGCCCAACAAGTCCACACTGACCCTCAGAGCATCCCACCAGACCTGTCCCCCTATAACCCACCTAATCTCTGCATCCCTGAACACTACGGGCAATTTAGCATGGCCAGTCCAAATAACCTGCACATCTCTGGACTGTGGGAGGAAACCCACGCAGTCACGGGGGACAATGTGCAAACTCCACACAGACAGTCGCCCGAGGGTGGAATCAAACCCAGGTCCCTGGCATGGTGAGGCAGCAATGCTAACCACTGAGCCACCGTGCCGCCCACTTTGTTCCTAGGTGTAAAGATTTTGCATCTTGCTGAATCATATTCTGGAATTTGTCAGGTTGAATTCTGAATAGTCACAAGATCCCCTTCCATTTTAACCTAAACATAAAAACTGCTCAAAGCACAACAATCTTCAAAACCTCATAATTGTAATGAAATAAAATCACTATATATATGTAGTTTTTGTCATTTCCCCTAAAAGTTTGGGGGGTGTATATATATTATTTCCTCATCTTCCTCATGGTTGAAGCACCTGCTGCATTGTCCCTTGATGTTAAGCTTAGCAGATTGGCACTTAAAAAAGCTGCAGGTATGTGAATGCATCATTTCGTTATTGCACTATGTTATAGCAAAAATTGTGTGAATTCAACAAACATTCTATTGGGCAATAACCAAACTGTAGCAAGAGTTTAGCAAATGAGTGAATTCAGTCTAAAGAAACCAAGTATATGCAGTTCCAGAAAAATGTCTTAACATTTTACTGATACTTATCGTAAGGTTGCTGTTAAAGATGCATTATTGTCTACTCGGCAGTTGTCCTTAATGACATAGTACTCACTTTAGGGAAGCTTTGGCCATTTTGTACATTGAAGTATAGAACCTTTTGGATGAATCCCCCACTGTCAACATCCTGATGGGTCACCATTATCCAGAAACTGAACTGGACTAGCTGTATAACTGTAGTGGCTACAAGAACAGGTCAGAGGCTCGGAATCCTATGACCAGCAACATGCTTCCTAACTCCCCAAAGCCTGTCCACAAGGCCCAGGTCGGGATGGTGATGGAATACCCCCACTTTTTGAGTATAACCTGAGGTATGAACATCAATGGCCAAAAGATTGTAAAGCAAGGATTCTTTATTTAATTGGCATCAAGTCAGTACAAACATAAAGGGAAATTAAGGATAAACAAGGAAGTATTTACATGAAATGAAGCCTGTGATTTGAAATTTTAATTGAAGAATCCCTTGTCTATCTGCTCCTCCTTTCCATGAGGCCTCCTTCCGCCAAAGATGTCCGTTTTACTAGAGAGGGTCCATTTGACTGCTCCAGCTGTCGCCCATTACTGTAGCCACCTATTGATGGAGGATCTGTTAAACAAGTTCAGGAGGCATTTTACTGCCATGGCTCTGAAGTGCATTGAAGACACATGGCTCAATGAAGGGACGGGCTGTGGGAAGAGCTAGAAATGCATGATTTCTGCACATAAACCTTGGCCAAAGCTCAATAATAACAGTGCTGTCCCATTAAACTTCCTGCTCTGTTAGTGCCCTTAGACAATGGAGTGGCCATTTCATACCAAGCATGGGTAACCTTTGAACCAAACCTAGTGAAATGTCAGTGCTTTCAGATGAGAACAGAAAAAAGTTGGAGATAGAAAATGGTAATTTTATCTAACTGAACAGTTTCTATGTATTTTTCTTCTGACTTTTGATTCCTTCCATTCTTATTCTATTTGGTATTGTATCCCCAGGTCTAGAATACATTAGTACTAGTACACTAGGTTGCTCACTGTTCCTCATCAATATTCTCAAAAGTATTCAGTGCTTCTAATTTTACTTCTGCAAGATCTATCCCAAAGTAATCCACACAATCCTTCCTTCCTTCCTTCCTTCCTTTGCTTTCATTTTAGTGATTTCTCAGTTAACTTGACGCATGTGAGTAACAACTTCAGAGTTAACATTTGAACCTGAACCACTCTCTTTGACAGCTAATGCAGAACTTATTCACCGCAAATCTATTCTGCATCAAAAATATAGCCAGTTTTAACACATGCACAGCATCAGTTTCCAGTATTTCTGCTTCTCCTGTTATGATTTAGTACCAAATCTCACTTACACACTTAAGTTGAATGCCTAATTATTTGCTTAAGTACAAGTTGTGGTAATCAGTCTATTTTAAAAGGGCTATTTGTAACTGTTTAATTATTTCTGAGCATTTTTGAAATCTCAACAGATGTATAAAGGGGTTTCAACTCAAGTAATTTACAAGTTACTTTGTTAGGCATTGAAAAAAATTAAAAAGGCTTTTGTACATCCTTGAAAATAGTAATACTCCTTGTAGAATTGAGCCGCATAATTACTTGGTTGAATGAGGTTAGATCATACTGAATCTTTTTATAATTAAAAATGTAAATTCAAGCTGTTCTTTCTAAAAGCTTTGGCGGCAACATTTCCGCATTGTAATATTAATGATTTCTTCAGTGTTTTGCTATGATAGTCATATAACTACAAGTGGTTCTCATTAATCTTGCTGGGAATGCTTTAGGGAGCAATCTGTAAATGTGGCAATCAAGATATTCCATACTTTAGACCATTTTGCAGCCACATTTATAGTATTGTGGTTTGAAAACCTATTGCAGATCCTGTGCATCCTGAACACTTACCTTGAAGGTAAGGAATTTTTAATTGAAGCAGTGATTATTGTATATTTTCTTAAAACTGCTAACAGTACTCTGCATAAAGCAGTTTCTGTCGAGCAGATATGCATGGTTAAACTCAAATCTGAAGTCAGTACATGAAATGCAGCACTCTATCATTAGCTATGCAAATTTGGCAAAGTTAGCCGTCTGGATCTCTATTCAAGTATATTGAATCGTGGTATGAGGCTACTGTACTTTTATCGTATATACGAACTAAACATTCCACAAAAAGTTAGGGTTTACCCTTTCCATATTGAGTACTATTTAATGGAATGTACATCTTGATTACTTCCATGCAGCCTCTAGCACTGTGAAGCCTCATTGCTGCTTTTCATTATTGTTGGAGATATGTTTTCAAATGGTATAACATTTTTTTGCTCTTATTTCTTCATGTACTCTTTCTGCATATACCTACTCTGAAGTTCAATTTTTCATTCTTGCTCCATGCTCATAATCAATCAGACTGAACAATTGTTTGTACCATTCGTTTGTTTGCCCTTAATGAGACCATTAAGCTTTTTGCATGCCTCACTGGCTGTGATTTACTGTTCAAATCTATACCAAAAAACATGGGCCAGTGCAAGTTATTCACTAGTCACGGAAATAATGTGTTTGACTAGTAGATTCAATTTATTTGATGATCAGGTTCTGATCATAAAAATAGGAGACTTCATCTTTTGGGAGGAACCTCAGAAGAAATTAACAAATTAACTGGCCACTAATTTATTTGTTATTTCGTATTGCTGAAAACGGCACATCTTTGTCAAAGCTTTTTGTCATGCAATCAACAAGACAGTTCATAAGATTTTCATTTCTTCATTCACGGGACGTGGATATCACAGTCTAAGCCAGCGTGTATTGTCCATCCCTAATTGCTGTGGAGAAGATAGTAGTGAACTGCCTTCGTAAATGTTGAATGAGCACAGGGACACTACATTGCTATCGATGTGAAAGTCCTGTATGGTCTTCAACTTTTAGCCTGGCTAAGGTATCTCAAAAGTTTGAGCAGTGGGTAGCAAGTTGTTTTGTGTGGCTCCTTAGTAGTGGCTGCCATCAAGCCAAAAAGATGTTTTGGCTAACGCACACAAGAATCCAGAGTAAATGAATTCTGTTGCCAATGTGGTGCCAGATATTTAGGCCATACATTTCAAAGATGGATAGATTGTATCAAATAGTATAACCCTTAGACTGATATATAACAGTGTGGAGCTGGAGGAACACAGCAGGCCAGGCAGCATCAGAGGAG